ATGTCACATTATTATTTGTTTTAAGTTAAAGACTAATTTTTGCCTCAGAGTGAAATCTGAACTCTTCTTTATGAGCAGTCTGACATACACACACACACTTCTAAAGCTGATGTTGTCTTTCTGTTGTTTTGTTGTAGTTGTTGTTGTTTTAACCACTACATGACTGTAGCTCATGGTAAAGCCGATCTCCTTCTTCCCTCTCAGGCAGAGAAAGACTCCAAAGAAGAGATCCTGAAAGCGTTCCGTCTGTTTGACGATGACGAGACCGGAAAGATCTCCTTCAAGAATCTGAAGAGAGTGGCCAAAGAGCTCGGAGAGAACCTGACAGATGAAGAGCTGCGGGTAAGAGCATGTAAAAAAAGCAGTGTTCACATGTACTGACACTCCTACTCAATGAAAACAGGCAGGCTTGTTTTTTTTCACTCAAGGTACCGGGACATTTCATTTTAGTTGCCTTTTAATTGTGTTATATCGTCTTACACTTTAGCTTTGTCTGTTGTATTATGAAGGAAACGCACATTTAGCCAGTCGACTGTTTCTATTGGTCACTTGTAACGTACCAGGATCATTCAGTGCCACTTGCTGCGTAACATGAATAAAATGTTAATGTCTGAGTGGCACAGATTTTCATCTGCAATGGCTGTAAAGACAACAACTCCCATGAACCTTCTTCTCCTTTTCGTCCTCATGTTTTGTGTTCATGAAGGAGATGATCGACGAGGCTGACAGAGACGGGGACGGAGAAGTCAACCAGCAGGAGTTCCTGCGCATCATGAAGAAAACCTGCCTGTACTGAAGGAAGGAAGCGTGACGTCAGGATTGTTGACGTCAGGAGTGCAGAGGGGAAGAGCGATGTTTTTACATGTAATGCTGCTCTTGCGTATATATCTATAACTCTGTCTCAAAATTCTCCCTCTTATTATTAGGTGCCATACATTGTCACTTATAAAGGTTTATATGTCATGAACCACCGATCCATCCTCCATTTATTTCCATTGCATTTGCCAAAAACAGGAAGACACTTTCTGTGAAATGCTGCAAATTTTTATGATCATTCTGATAAAATGCAAGTTATTCAAGGAATTCTTAGTGCCTGCCTCAACACCGTGATGACACAGAACCTTCCAGTGCTTTTATTGACAACATAAAGTGTGTGTAGTAGGATTCTACCATCTGCACGATGCCTGATGTGGCACTGGAAATTTGTAACATGAGCTGTTGGGTCACTGCTGACGACTGGAGCGTGTTGTCTCACCTCAGTGCTACCTGAGGATTTGTGCCTGTGTCTCTTAAAGGGGGTGATCACAATCAGGGAAGCTGCCCAAACCTCTCTGACCTGCACACCTTCCCCACAAGTCTCATTATCTTTCAAAAATGTGGTTGATTGTTGTGTTTTTCTTGTAGCATCGACTATGTATCCTTCCATTGTGTACATCTAGATGATCGTTTTGTATGATATAGAGTATGGTGCATATACAGCATATTAGTGTTTAATATAGAAATTAAATATCTTGAAGCATATCGTTTTCATTGTTGTTTTAATAAGTCCACTGGTGCATTTGTCTACAGCATATTTGATAATAGAATAACTCCATCCTTTAAATCATTGCATTTATGAAAGGTACCCTACCCAGCCCACCTCCCAAACATCCTCATTTATCCCCTCGAAGTCTGTGTCCTCACAAGAATGACTTTGCAATGTAGAGCAATGATTATTTATCAAGGATAAATCAGACGGTATCAGTACAACAATAAAAAAAAGACATTTAAATGGAAGATTTAATAAATACATAATGACTGTGATAACAAAGAGGGATGTAGAGGGACTGTCTCACTCTGACTCTTATACTAGTCTCAAAAAGGAACGCCATGTTTTCCTTAAAAATCTGGAAGGAGCCTTCGGATGTGTATATATTTTTTCCAGAAAATGCATGTTATCACTTATCCATCTTGTAAAGGTAGAGGTGTAATAGAGAAAGAGACATTTTGCGATCATGAAGGTAAAACATGACCACAAATCAGCTTTGCCTTTGCAAGTGTCAGGGGTTTATCCTGTCCTTTATTTATTTAATTTCTATTATAACCATCCTTTAGGTTTGCAGTGGTTATCAGTATTTGAACAGCTTGAGTTTTCATCTCAATTTTTTTCAAAACTCACAAAAGCTTGAAGTCAATCTACTGCAGTTAATAAAACCCATGTTGTTTGTCTTTGAAATGCAAACGCAGCGCAGGAAGATGCTGCGACTGTACAGCAGCATATTGACTCAGCTATTCAAACTGAGTCAATTCAAAGCTTGATGCAATGATTGTGGAAAGATGTTGCTTTCATTCAGGTGGTGCAGGTAAAAACTGAGAAGTCTTCGAAAGCAGATTGGATGTCTAAGTTAAGTTGGGCACTTTTCTCCTGTGTGCAACCTGTCGTATCCGCTGCTGCAGCTCCCGTGAGCGATACCCATAGACCAGAGGGATGAGTGACACCCCCAGGTTGTAGGTGATGGTTGCTGCTATATCGAGAGCATCACTGTGCAGGGGTCCAGGGATCAGGTAGCTGTCCATGATCACAGGAACTGAAAAGAGAAGAGTCTGAACAGCCTGGAGGGTCAGAGTCACCCACGCTCTCTTGGAGCAGAGCAGCCCAGTGTGCATGTCCCAGCAGAGCAAGCAGAAGCATCCCAGGATGGTCAGGGAGCAGAGAGGCAGCACCACAGCGCTTCCCAGGGTGCAGTAGAGCAGCATGGCCGACGACTCTGACAGGCAGGGCATGAGGAGGACAGGGCGACAGCGTGAAAAGGAAAAATCCGCCTGGATGGTGCTGAGGCTGATACACAAAGCCACACCAGTGCCCACAAACGATAAGGTCCATATGGCTGTAACAGCTGCTCGCTTCCTCTGAGGACAGATCAGGAATTCATAGCGCAGAGGCCACTTGACAGCAACAAATCGGTCCACAGCCAGGGCAGTGCTCAGTAAGAAGTCCACCTGTGTAACAAGAAGAGACATTAAAGTTCGATGTAGCCCTCACTTTGTCCTGTCAGAGCAGACAGACTGTTTACAGAGACCACAGCATTAATTAGACGAGAACAAACTACATACTTCTACTACGTGGCCAAACTCTGGGGGTTTTAACCTAAACGTGACCAATTAAAGATGTTTAAAATGTCTTACTCTTATTCACTGTGACACCCTTTGGTCTTATTCTCTCCACAGTAGTGATTATTCATCAATTGATATTATTCTATTAAGAAATTCAGCTACTCCATTTTGGTTAGCTGGTCCCATAAGAATTTGCAATCATGAACTTGTAAAATAATTTAAACCAGATAAGACTACAACTAATAACTATTTTCATGAAGGATCTGTTGATTCTTTTGGTAATAAACCGATTATTTTATAGATTGAAGAAAAAAGTGGCAAATGGTGGAAATGATAAAATAGAAAGAAAAGCAGATAATCCTGAAGAATAAAAATATATTGTGGCTGAGTTTAAACAAAGGAAAAATAACTGCATATGAGTAAATCAACACATTACAAACCAATGAGCAGCCCTGGATAGCAGCACAGAAGATCAGACACTGGGTCACTGGCATCCCTTCTCTGGATCTCAGAAGAACCGCTTTGATCATCCAGAGGAGCTGCTGAAATTTTAAAGATGGACCAGACACTCTAAACTCAGGATCAACAGAAGCTCTATAGACGTGCTTTCATTTAAAAAGTCAAACATAGCGGTTTATACATACTTGGAAGCAGTCGCACAAGAGGAGATGTGCGAGGAGCAGGAAGCGAGTGTGTCTGAGGAGGGACGGCGAGCGTGCGATGACCCAGGCTAAAGGGAAACTGAGCATGGTGTTCAAGCTGCAGCTCACACACATGACGACCATCTCAATCAGCTGGTAGATGCTGGATTCAATCTGTATCTGGCTCTCCAGTATCGACACATTGCAGTGGATATCCATGACGGAAAGCTCACTGTGCTCTGCTTCTGATTGTTCACACAACAATTTAAACTAAATTCAATTTGACCTCACTGAAAATGGGAAGAAAGATGCAGTACACTCAACCTCATATCTGCTTCAAACACAACATGGTGAAGCATCACACCCGTTTCATTCTCATCACTGATTTCATCTGCATCTTGCTGTTATACATCAGCAGTGCAGATTGTCCGTTTACTCAGTTTCATTGTGTCAAAGAGTCAGAACCTGAGATCGAAAACCTCATCAAGAGCTAGTGTTTGTTATCAGGACTGTTTGCTTATTTATACAAAAGATATGAATACATCTGGACAGGACTGCTTTCTACGCGTGTCAATATTTGACTGATAGCAGATAAGCAGTCATGGGAAACAACTACACACCCACACACACAGACACACACAATCATTTATTTTAAGGGTCATTTCCCTCGCAAGCACCACGCCACAACAAAAGGTTATTGAGAGGTTTGAAATATTTGATGTTGAAGAAAAAGGATTGGACGTCGAGAGAAGGGGTCGAGGTGAAGATGTGTCTGATAGGCTGGTGTGAAAGGATGTACTGGTGATTGGGCAGAGAGGAAACTCGAGGTGGGGTTCACATCAGGCATTACCCCCCCCCCCCCCAAAAGCTTATTACGAGTCCCCCAGCCAGTCCTTAGAACCAGACTTGCAGGAAGTATGCATCAAAGTGAATAAGAAGGGATAAGGGAAGTGAGGATGAAGGGATGTGGGTAGGGATGAGGTAGAAGGGTGAATGGATGAAGGTTAGGGGAACATCAGGTTGAGAAATCTGAGACTAATGGAGCGTGACGGGTTGACTGAGTATATTTTAGGCCTGACAGGTGTGTAGAGGTGGGTGAGGCCCTGCTCGTGAACCTTAGCGCTGTAAACTCTAGTGACACTGGATTCATCTCAAACTGTTTAACTTAATAATCATAAATATGCGGTAAACTTGTTTGCGGCATACAACGACCACATTGCTTATACATAGTGTAGATATACATACATACAGATGTCAAGGGACCATTTAATGTACAATCAGAGTTGAAATTTATTTAAAGAGTTCATAACGGATATGACAAACTGATAGAATATTAAAAACATGTGACGCTAAGTCACTCCCACACAAACATGCTCACGTTTCAGTCAATAATCACTCACAAACGAAAAGGAAAAGTATAAAAATAGATTCAGTATCAATAATCACAGCTGCTCGTTGTTGTAAAACTAGTTGACTGAGGTATTTGAGAATCTGAACAAGTTTCCTGTGAGTGTGCAGCTTAATCCACAACGTTACTCACAGACAAATTCAGGATCTCAGCTTTGACTGAGTTTAGCCTTTGAGGCGAAGTCGGCGCTAAGCTTGCGCATCACCTCCGCGTGGCTTTGTCCTGCTAGTTCCTGTCGTACAGTCCCATAATTCTCTTTGACAAAGTTGGCGAAAGGCGCTGGAGCTCGCGGCTTGCAGGGAGTCAGCAAGACAAGATTACCCGTGCAGAGGGCACACGCGAACCTCTGCGTGTCCAGTGACTTGGAATGGCGCCCGATACTGTGAAGAACCACGTGTTAGGAATATTACCCATTGGAAATTAAAACACAAGTCTGGGAAAGGAAACATGGAAATGAATACTTACGTATTCTGGCAGCGGGTGCACTGGTATTGGAATTTGTACTTGATGTCGTAAGTGTGGCAGCGAGTGACCATGGGCAGCTCAGGATGCACCAATGTGGCCTTGCGCGCGTAAAGCTTCCAGAAGCTTCCATGCCCATCTCTCACCCCATTAATCAGCCACGTCGCTGCATGACACATCTCATGAACCAGTGTGTCTCTAAGACGATCTGGGAGACACGGAAAATTAAATAAGACTGACAATATGATGCGGAGATTCACATATTTACAGTTAGGGACAGACTTGGTTTATTACTTCAGTCTACCTGAGTTATTGAAACATTACCTGCAGAATCACAGACTTTCTCTGACAGCTCAATGCGAGCGTAGCGGTTCCCACCACCACGCTCCTGCCCCGTGATACAGTAACCAGCTGTTTTCCGCATTTTCTTATTCCAGGTCACTGACATATCAACAGGGAGCTGGAAAAGTCATGACAGGGAAAAAAGAAAACACAATGAAGTAGTAAACAATCTATAATATTTACACATTTCAAATCAGATGATAGTTCTGAAATGAATAAAAACAAAACAAGGGAAACTGTCTGTCTTCACCTTGCTGTCGAATATACTGGTATTGTACAGCAGGTAAAGTTTTCTGGTGAGCTCCTCCTTGCTTTGCTTGAAGCCGCGGCCATAGCTGGAGCCAGGGTTTGAAAGTGACTGCAGGAAGCAGCCTGGGGTTTTACACAATGTTACCCTGCAAAGGATCAGAAAACAAAAGTCAAACTGAGCGAGTCACACACACACAAATGCTGCTTCATATTTAACATTGTAGATAAACATGTGACCATATGTACCTGCTAATGGGGCCGTGTCTGGGTTCTGTCTGACTGACCATGGGCTTCATGATGGTGGACTTCCCAGGTGCTTTCACACGCAGAGGTGTTTCCCCCAATGATTTAGAGGCTGGTGTCGTGCGTGCCTTTACTGGAGGAACAAACACAGGAGGCTCCATACTGTTCTCTAGATTTCAAAACAAAAAGCACAAGAAATGAGTAGAGCATGAGAAATAAAAAGAGGAGTGCTTTTCTTCCCATTTTTGCAAATCGAGAGTAAAGATTTCATGAATAAACATGAAATTTCAAGATTTAAGTTGAACTTTGTGTCAAACTAATGTCAGAACTCATGACGGCCTCAATTAAAATGTGTGGTATAGATGAATGAAAATCAAACACTTACCTTTGCCGATCTTTGGTGAGCATGAAGTGCCAGTGAGTTTGTTTTTCTTTTTCAGTCTCTCCAGCAGCGATGTGAACTCCTCCTCAGAACTGGCCGACTCGACCAGCTTCGAAGGTGCTGAAAACGTAAACTTAGGAGACGCCATAGACGTTGGAGTTTTGGGAGGACAAAGAGACGATCTGGGGAGCAAAGGCAGTGATGGAGCGCTGTCGTCTTCACCACGCAGCAGAGCATTATTCTTGTAGGTTTCCGCCGGGGGTTTGGGTTTCGAGTGACGACTTCTCCACGTGCTTTTGACCACGATATTATCATTATCATCGTCGTCACTGTCGGTAACAAAGACAGGAGAGTCCCATTGAGACAGTGGTCTCCTCACTGGAGGCTGGTGTGCTGGAGTGTGGCTCTTTTTCGGCACTGAAAAACATTGTTATACACATTTAGTTCAGCAGCTCTTCAGCAAATACAACATCAGCACTGAAAGCAATTCACATGCTATACCTTTCAAAGATAGTTTTGTCTCAATAAAGTCGTCGTCTGATGAGCATTCATCCACGATGAAGTTTTTGAGGCTATAAAGATAAAGACAGGTAAAACAGTTTGAAAGTTTGTTCCCAGACACGGACGCTGCTTTTAAGATTAGAAACAAATATGACACAACTCACCTGTCTTCACTTCCACTCTCTGACACTTTCTTGGTGTTTGGGGTTTTCACTCGTTGCAGAACTTAAATATGCAAAAGGGTGAACTGAGTGAAGTATGATCCACAGTGTGAATATGTTTTCCTCAACTTCTTTCTGTTTGCATTTGAGTCAGTAATTGTCAATGGTTACAAATAATGACAACAGAAAAAAAACACTCACATGTCTCAAAACTGCCGTCATCGTCTGAGCTCACCACAAGAACATTTGAACTAAAAGGGAGCAATGGATGGAAGTTAAACTCACAGATTAGAGGTCAAACTAAAAACAAAGATTTTCCTTAAAGATGATTTCCTTACTTGTCTTTCTTTGCAGCCCCAACAGTTCTCTGTGCGGTCGGCTTAGCTTTCGGTGTAGCTCTTCCCACAAGAACTGAGGAACAAATTGGCAAAAGGAACAAATTAGTGTTTGTGTAAACGGCGTCGTACAATTTAAAGATATTTATGCAACTCAACTCACTCACACTGGTCAAAGTCATCGTCACTGGACTCAGTCAAAGACTTGCTTCTGTAATCGTTGCCTTTGGAGCGATAATTCTCCTTCTCATCCTCACTTCCTGAGAGGCCGAGCTGGAGGGGCGAAGCTGAACGATCTACAGCTCGATGATGATTTAAGGCACCCAGACGAGTCTTGCCAATTGAGCTGATCAGCTAGAAGCAATGCAGACAGAGAGACAGACAGACACATGGGGTACAGCGTTTCTGCAGGTTTCAACAGGTTCAGTTTAAACCTTTATAAGATCATAGTGAATGAAAATTAAGATGTATGTCAAGTATGAGTCCCACAAACACATCACAATAATAGAAGTAAAGTAGCATAGTATGTAATAACCCTTGAAACGCTGAGTTGTCTTACAAACTACAGAGACGGTAGGTATATATAGTGTTCACCAGTGTATTTACTAATACCACGTTACACTTACTTGTACTTCTTGAGAGAGAAGTACAACACACATGTTACACATGAAGACATTATAAACTATGCACGCTGCCAAAACATTCTAATTGGCTAAAGGTGAGAGTCAAAATCAAACATTTACTCAGCTTCTATTGAAAAAGAAGAAATCCTCTCATTAAATAAATAATACATCTTTTTCAACCAGGTGTTAAACAGAAGAAATGCTGCTGAAGTGCACGACTCACCTTCTTCTCCGCTGTGTCCAGTCCTCCCTTGTCCATCCAGCCCATCTTCTTCGCGACTCTCTCAAACAGCTGGCGGTTGTCATCGTTCATCGTTTCCTCTCCTCTGAGACAACAGCAGCAGCGATCCGGTCATTTAACATTTAAAGTCCAGCACTGTCGTCGAACATGTGATTTATACGCTACGCTGTGCTAGCTGCGAGTTAACGTGTCCATCTGCCACTTATCAAGCTCAGTGATTCAGCTAAAGGAGAGGAACCGTCTGTAAACAAAGCTACACGACAGAGGAAGCGGATGGTAGCTACTGTTAGCTAACCTATCGTTAGCACCTCGCTACATTCACCGACTTTATTTTAAAAATGTTTCCTTTACGATGCGTTTCATTTAGTATCACGAGCCTCTGGGTATATTGGGTTGGAGATATAGTTACCTGACGCGCTGCTGGTGTTACAGTGAGAAGCAGGAGCAGACGGACGTTACTCAGCGGAGAGAGTTTAAATCTTGTGCTCCATTTTACCGGAAGTTGTCACGGAGACATTTGACCAATCGGAGCGTGCTTCAAATGACATGTGACGTTTCCATAAAACTAGATTAACATGTTTAAGAAATGATTAATTACATGATTTAATCTCTGTGATCGTACTGGAAAGGTTTCATTCTTTTTTATTTTATTTTATTTATTGACGTTAACATTACAGAAATAGTTTTGTGTATCTTTATTTCTTTAATTTTAATCATTTGTGCAAAATGCAAAATTAAAGTAATTCTCATTAACTATATTTTCCTTTAAAATACAATTTTATTAATAGTTTCGTTTATTCATAAAACTTAGAACATCACTGTAAATACTTAATCTTAACATTAAGATACTGTCTATTAGGTTAGCCCAAAATCTTCATCAGCAATAAAATCACCATCTCAATAAATACATACAGCTTTACATAGAGTAGGGCTAGTTAAGATTCTTTTGTCTGTGTTTGTTATTTAGCAGATTTGCACGATAACTACTGGATGAATTACCATGAAACCTAGTGGTTGGATGTGCATAGGTCAGGTAGATTTTCAACATTTTTGCTGATTCCTCAGAGAATAATTCATGGATCACAATGAAATTAAATCATACAGGTTTGGGGACTAACATTTTTAGTGTAATTTGGTGAACATCCAAATAAAAATCTGGATCTGGACAAATTACATGTAGTTTCAGAAGGGGATTGTTGGGAGAGGTATGTGCTCTACTTTGTCCCTCTAGCCGTGCATTCCTAGAGGCGTTGCCCTGCAGCTGTCTGTCAAACACACCAAAATGTACTGGATAGGAAAAAGGACTGACTATCCATGTTGGAGTCATTCTCCAGCAGTGTGGATATTATTACTATGTAGTTGACCTTTGATCGGCATTATGTGTGAAACAGAATTTGTTTATGGTGTTAACACAGTAATGAAAGGTTAGCTTTTGAATCTAGCTGTTGACACAGTATTTTGTGCAGAGTCAGGTGAGTGTAAAATACAGGACAGGTTTGCCATCTCTTTAACTTTTTTATTATATTTATAGCCTTATGGCATCATTGACAGCATAGGGTTAACAGACATTACAAAAACAAAATCTGCTTAGAAAATACTTACCTAGGCCGTTCCTTGTGTAATTTAAAAAAAAGATCAATTTGTGTTTAGCTCTGACATCTAACCGGAAATTTAGGCCTTTTCCAATGACATGAAACATCCCTGTCCGGCCTTGTCCGGTCATTTTTACAAGCAGAGTGTGACATCAAACAGGACGACAGCTACTGAACATATCCTTTGAATAACAACAAAAATATAAGTTGGCATTTGCTGAGGGGAAGAAGTCTTTATCTTGACAGAATCCTCAAATCTTGCACATCTACCAATTGCAGTCATTGAACAGCTTAAGACAAACTAAAGAGCAGTTGCAATCTATGTTTTACATTTGCATGTTAAAGCTGATGAAAAGCAAGTCAGGGTAACAATTTTCATGGTGCAACATTTGTCCTTTTAAAACAAGCAACACTCTTTATCCATTCATAAATAGATCCAAAGAGTAATGATGGCTGGGCATTCTCTCCACAAGCTGCAGTCAGTCCTGTGTGCAGACTGACAGAAGAAACAAAAATCCACTGATCCAAGTACGGAAGGGGCAAGCAGGGCATTCACAATCCTTTCATGTTCATCTAATATACTTTAAAGAGTCACAGATGAGCTGCCTGAAATCTCAGGCTCTATCTGGCTCAGGAAATGCAGATGAGAGATGACTGTGATGGGGGTCACACGTGTGCATCTGTAGGCTCCTTCACAAATAAGAGTCCCATTAATAGTAAATGACAGAGATGCAGTTGTTCAGAGAGAGGGAATGGAGTGGAGGCTGATGATTCAAGCTAGGGGGCTGAAAAAAACCCTAAAAAAAAAAACAGGTGGTGGCAAAGGATTAGATGACTGGGGTAAATGGGGAAAAGAAATCTTCCACTTCAGGCATTCTCACTTGTCTCTACTGATTGGAATTTGACCAGAGGTTCTGGCTTGTTGCCGTTGCTATGGTGCTCCCACATCTGCAGGTAGAGCCGCTCCAGGTCCATTGAGTACTGCTTGGTGTTGAAAAGAGGGCTGCAGATTCGCTGCTTCCACACACGTGCTCTAACCATCTTCAGGCTGAAGGGAATGAAGAAAATGTTTAGACATGGTGTTTGTAAAAAGATGTTTTGTAATGGATCTAAGTGTACTTACTATTCCATGTCAGAGCCCAGTTTGACGGCTATGTCCTCATAGTCCTGACGACTCTGGGCTATTAGCTCAGGGCAGCCCAGACAGTTGAGCTGTGAGGCAGCCACACGGGAGGCGAGGGTCTCACCTTTACAAAGAGGAATTACAATTAAAAAGCAGCCTTCACTTTATAAATGTTCCACAGATGACTGATACTTAAAAAGAAGTCAGGAAAAACCCATTACATTTTGGTGTGCATCCAAACCAGAAGGCAGACCCGATTTTTAAAATTCTCTTTAACATTGCAAGACAAAGCATTTTTTATTTCTAAGCGAATAATTCATTGATCTTTATGAAAAATCGGACATGTTAAGGGGAATGATATTTACGAGTGTGTGTAATTTGGTTGAGATCCAAATAAAAATCCAGATGGAGATCCACACTCTGTGAGTGCCATTCTAGTTTATAAAATTATTATAATTTCTTCATTTTGGAATTAGAATGAATAAAACATGATACAGAAATCCTTGTGTCCTCACCTGGCATGGTGACCATGGGTGTTCCAGCCCAGAGAACATCCATGCCTGTGGTGTGACCATTGCAAAGAGGAGTGTCCAAGCACACATCAGCCAGTTGGCCCCTCCTCACGTGCTCCTCCTTGGGGGCAACAGGAGAGAAGATGATGCGAGAGCCAGCCAGACCCATGTTCTGAGCGTACTGCTGGATGTTTGGCTCGCCCACAGCAGGGAAGCGAAGAAGCCACAAAACGCTGTTGGATACACGCTTCAGAATCTGTAATGAAATGGCAGTTTTAAAATTGATTAAAAGAACCCACAAACTTGAGAGGTAAAATATTAATTTTAAGAGGGCAGAGTTGAAGAAACATTCGAAGTAGTTATGTCTAACTTACGTTGGCCCACATCTGAAGAGTAGGAGGGTCAATCTTGTAGAGCTGGTTGAAGTTGCAGTAGACAATGGAGTCCTCTGGAAGACCATACTGGGAGCGGGTAGTCACAACGACCGTGCGGGGAACCTCCTCGCCAGTAGCAGCTTTGTTGTTGATCTTCAGAGGGGGATAGAAGTGTTTTAAGGTGGAGTTGCCACAGTGCTTCTGTATGACTGATCTTGATTGTTTGAACCAATATGGTAATATGATATTGCCAAGCCAAGAATGTAGGATTAATTTTGAACCCAATCCATTGTGCCACCAGTTCCCTTCACCTACCACTACCACCTGCACTATCACCTTACTTTCATGAACAAACCATACCTGTAGGAACATAGTCTTTGAGTCTGCTGAAAAGATCTGGAAAAGCAGCAAGCTATATTAATGTGCTGCTCTGGACTTGGTATCGGCATTTGCAGACTCTTTGGGGCCCACGCTATACAGCTCAATATTTGCAAGTGTGTCTGAGCCAGACGTACCTGTGTGGTGGCCAGGCCATTGCTGACAGTGAAGCCATTAATTGTGACCTGGATTTGACCTTGATTGATCATGTTGATGATGGCTTCAGCTGCAGTGTTCATGGGAATAACTGGCATGGACAGAGCTCCGTTAGTTTCCACAGCAGTTTCCTGGTTGTTGTCACACTTCATCTGTCACAAAGAACAGTTTCAAATGAAATGCTTGGGCATTATTCAGAGCTGTATCATCAAACAACATGTTTCATTCTGGTTTGTCAATGTGGCCAAAACTCAACAATACAACATAAACAATGAAACAATGCTGGAGAAGACAAAACTGGACTCCTCATCAACTCACCTTTATTACTTTGACATCTGGCAGACTGTCCAGGAAGGCCTTCAGATCAATACCATTAAGGACAATGCGGTTGTCAAAGATGTGTCCATTAGATTTGAAATCAATCACTGCCTTTTTCTGCGAATGAAAAAAGAAAATGTTGCAAACATCCTGATTATGTTGAGCTACTTTTATTTTAAAGAGAGAGCAGCATTGTGGGGAGAGACAGACCTTGAGGTGAGGGAACATGTTGGCATGATCTCCAATGAAGAACGTGTGGGGCATGTAGGCAAGTTTTTCAGAATACTGCTCGGCCACCTCCAAAGGTGATGTCTCCTTGTCAGTGATGATGTAGTCCATGAAGGGAGCCCCGCTGGTTCCAGGGTAGCCCAGCCACATACACTGATGAATAAAAAAATAATAATGAAAAAAAGAGACAAACAGTGAATTATTTGATGCAAACCATTCCCTGTATTCTCTCATCAAGGGTGTAGGGTTTACCTGTATGGGGGCTGGGCGAAGGGCGAAAAGCTCATTTCGGGCTCCTTTGGTGTATCCATTCATGTTGACTAGAATGTGGAGTCCGTCCTGGTGAATACGATCAGCTGCCTTGCCATTGCAAGGGATCTGGAGAAAAAAGGTAAAACTTTTTTTTTTACTTTTGTTAAGGGACCATGTGGTTAAATGTCTTTTTTATTAAGAACTAAAAACACACATAAAGTAGCAACTCCTGGCTGTGACAGTTACCTGTGAGAGGTCTGTGAAATGATGAGCCTCTGCTACCACTTTGACACGAAAGTTGGTGCTATCATCAGGGCTAAGCGCATAGCAGAACACCTGGGGGAAAAGAAGTTATTCATTCATAGGTTAAATAAATAAATGCTCCAACATCCAAAAGGCACTATATTGCAATACTTTCAAAGTTGATCATCTCTAGAAATAAAAGTACAATTAAGATCACCCACCTCAAATTTCTCAGGATTGTGCATTCCAGGAATGGACTGCATCAGATGGGAAGTTGGGTGGTTGCCAAAGTCAGAGCTGACATATCCGACACGCAGACGTCCACCGCTGGCCTTCAGGT